AAATGTATGTAGCCTATACATACATTTAAAAGTAGTTTATTAACCAATGCTTTGGTGTTTCATACCTTGTGACCCCTAATACACTCAAAACTGTTGTGTAGTATTCTGCAACGATAATATAAGGAGTTTGATATGATTGTACAACTAGGATAGAAACCTCAATAAAAACAATGAACTAATTTTAAATACATTTACATTTTTAAAAGAAAATGTGTCTACTGTATGGAGTTTGAGTATGAGGATTAGCATAATTATGTATCAAATCACTCAGGGTCTTGAAAGCCATTTAAGGGACTTCTGATTTTATGAAGGCTCGTGGAGCCAGGGATAGATTTATAATGAGGGCAGAGCATAATCAGCTCTCTACCTTAGGACACTCACTCCTGTGTCCTGATGGAGAACGGTGAGGACAGTCAATAGCCAGGAGAGGAACGGGAGGATGCTGGTCTAGTTCTGACAGGAAATGCTGACATGCTGATTGGATGGGGGATGGAGGGTGGGAAATGAGAAGGGAAAAGCAGACTTGGAAACTAGTAGAAAGGGATTTCAGAGGGACAGAATGGGCCTGGGAGTCCAGTTCTAAGTGAAGGAACGTTGATTCAGTTCATGATTGATTGCATTTGAAACGACTGCAATGTGGAACTGGAGACACCCCAGGGTTAAGCTGGATACACATTCCCAGAGTTAGCAGGACTGTAATCAGATTTGGAACCCAGTGGCATCTGGATGGCTGTTCAAACCAGAGAAGTACAGCTGTTCTCTCCCTATAGTGATCTTGTACTCCAGAGCACAGCTGTTAAAATAGAGAGGAACTTTTGTTTGCCACCATGGGGTAGAATGTGAATTTCAAAGAGAAAAAGCATGGGCATGTGGGACTGAAGCATTCTGTGGCTGAGAATCATTCCTCTGGCCAGCCCATGGTGATGAATGGACGAAGGACCAGGAGAATGAAGAAATAGGCTTGGGCCCCAGGCTGGTCTGAGGTCAGTATATTTCTCTCTCCTCCCCAAGATAGTCCAATCTCTCCCTTTACAGCACAATTATAGTGGTAGGTTTGGTTAGAGTTCCAGTTATCACAGTTCCCTCATCCTAGTCTCCTTGTAGACCTCAAAGTCCTCTACCTTTCTTACCCCTTACAGCATAGTTATATAGAAATCATGAAGGGTGGAGGTACACATAGGTGGAGTTGAACATTGTCATAACAACAAACAGAGGTAAAGTCACTCCTTCAGGGAAAGTTCTAGGGAATTAACTCAAAGACAAAATCTCATCTGAGGGCTCTGCACTTCAGATTACTAAATTACCAGGAGATCCACTCAAGGGCGGGATTCCATCTAGGGCATATTGCTTTATCCTTTCCTCAGCTAGGAATCATTTAAACAATTATAGTAAATATACTTATTATATTACAAAATCCCCTACCCCTGCGCCAGGCTGTCTTCATCAGGGCACTTCGGAGGGGAGCGGATTGAGTTTCCCTGTCCCAAACAGAGCCCCAGCAGCCGAAAACCTCCAGAACCCAGCCACAGCCATGCTCAAGGCCACTCTCCACACACTCAGACGAGCCTCAGGCATGAAGCAATTGACCGAGGAACCCAGGTTTGTGGGACCCATGATTGAGATCTCCAAGCCTGCTGGGATCTGGACTGAGCCTACTGCACCCAGATCCCCAGTTTTCCAGTAGCTTGGCAGTCAGACCCACCAACCTCCTCCTCCCCCACACACACACCATGTAATCTCATCAACAGCCAATCTCATCTCCATCCCTCTCGGAGAGCCCGGCAAGCTACTGAGAGTATTCTGCTCATACAGCAGAGCCTGGCAAGCTACCTGTGATGTATTCAATATGCCAAAAAAACAATAACAATAATGGGTCTTATTCCTCTTACTCTGAAAGAGCCCCCAATACGCCATTGGGCAACACTATCATGCGACAGGGACAAACAGAGACGTTACTGGAGCAAATCAATGCAAATCAATGAAGAATGGGATGACAAGTGACAAGTGACATACTTCTTATATTTTTAGTCATTTAAGAACACAGTAAGAGATATATTAAGCTTAAAAGTTGGCTTTTCCTGGGCACATCTCGCTATATCTCCCAGATTACAGTCCTTAGGCTAGGTTCGTCTTTCCTAAGCCCCGCAGGGTCCTTATTCAGTTACTGCTTTTTGGGTTATGACAGAATTTGTCCATGACCATGCTTTTAAGCATGGAACTTATACTTTTGGTGCTTAGCTTGTCCCCTTTTGATGCCAGGGTAGCTTACAGTTTGCCCTGGGTCCATCCAGTCCCTTCGTTGGGACCCTGCTTTTGGAAACGGCAACTGAGGCCTAAATCAAGTAAATATGGATGGATGTCCAGGAGTAAATATTTGGAGTCAATTAACTTCCATGTTATAAAAGCATAACATGAACTGTCTTCTTATGTCTATACAAAAAAGGGACATTGCTAAACCATGCAAGTGACATAAAGGAAAGAGAAAAGCAATATAGAATTATTAGTGCTTTATGGAATTGGTGTGCCTCAGGGACACTGTTGTGGGAGTAGCTCAATAAAACTAAGTTCCCTTCAGGAGGAACAAGGACAACCCAATGTTATCCACCGTAGAAAAAGGTCAGTTGACACTGTCATCTAATGAAAGAAAGCCACCATGCTAGAGAACCTTGTGCCAATGTCCCAGTGCCTTAGCAGGGAAGACATGAAGTCCCAGAGAGATGTTGAAAGAAAGAGAAGGAGTTGGTGATAGAGTCTGAGGGAACCCTAGATGTGTCAAAGATGAACAGAGAAGCAGCCATCACTTGAAACCAAATGGAAGCCAGCAGAGAGACCACGGACCAGGGGGACTTAGTTTCATGAACTTTGGACAAATCGGTGTCAAGTATAGGTTAATTGAGCAAGATCCAAATTAATGTGATTTTTACCTTCTTTAGTTAAACAAATGCAGCAGGTTCTAACTGGATACGGAGGGTGAGCCCTTGTCACACCTGCCCTCCTCATAGGACACAAGAGAAGGCCAGGAAATCTGTCTCTTGGAGCTTCATAGGAGCTCCACTTAGAAATCACAGCTAATAAGCCCCCGCCATTGAATGTATACTGTTTGAGACACCATCTGGCTATGGCCTTTGTTCACTAGCCCGGTGCAGCATCTTTGGTGCTTGAGATCTGGTTTTTGTTGTTGGTTTGTTGGTTGGTTGGTTGGTTGGTTGGGAGCCATACCACACAGGGTCTTGCCTGCTGTGCTAACTCTCCAGCTCCTCGAGACCTGATTTATGAAAGACTGTACTTCCTCTGTAAATGGCCCTTGCTGGATATCGATGCACTGGGCTTACCCTAAATAGAACTGGGTTCCTTGAGTGAATCCTAAAATGTTGGTTTTATTTATCAGTTTTCCATCACTGTCACTGTCCTCCCGTTGTTCATTGATTTGTTCGAGCAGGTTCATCATGAGACTTGTTGTTACTGTGCTTGATATATCGAATACATCACGGGTAGCTTACCAGGCTTTGCCGTGCGGGTTAGATACTCTCGGTAGCTTGCTGGGCTCTCAGAGAGGGGCGGAGGAATTGCACCCCGCTCTGCCGGGCTGGCTGCATGCAAGGCAAATGCCCTACCTCTGTGCTATCGCTCCAGCCCAGTTTTCCATAACATGTTTAATTCACATTCCCTAAAAAGAATAAAAACTAAATGAAGTGTTTAAAGTCGTCAGTACCATGCCTAGCTTAAGGCAAATGCTGGATAAATGTCAGTTATGCTTTTTGTTCCTCACGTTATTTTTATGTTCATTCTTGGCCAAGGTCAAAACTAAACTTTGTTGATTTGAACTCAGGAAAGACAAACTTTATCTGCCTTACGTTCAGATTTCCAACTAAAAACACGTTTTCGTGTTCAAATGTCTTTTTTTTTCTTATTGGGTCACACCCAGCGATGCTCAGGGGTTACTCCTGGCTCATGCACTCAGGAATTGCTCCTGGCGGTGCTCAGGGGACCATATGGGATGCTGGGAATCGAACCTGTGTTGGCCATGTTGGCTGCGCGCAAGGCAAATGCCCTATCCGCTGTGCTATCGCTCCAGCCCCTCGTGTTCAAATGTCTTAAAAAATATATAGTGCTTGAAGATTGGTTTATGCTTATAACAATAAATTCTCTGTTTTCTGTGATTTCCTGAGTAAGCAGCTCGTTTTAATAAAACAAACCTCTTACAAAATAAGATACAATAAAACAACACAGATACCGTCTTTTCATAGTCTATCCCTTTTTATTCATAAATAACAATTTCCAAGCATATGAGTAAAGTCAGGCTGAGGCTGGAAACAGCTTGGCGCGACGAGAACAAAACTTTCAGACTGTGGTGTCCAAAGTTTTGGTTTCTTCTGGGTTGCTTTGATTCATGTTGGAGAGAGGGATAAAGACTTAGGGGAAAGGAGGGGGAGCGGGTTTGCCGGATGAAATACAAGCCTTAACCGACACGAGGCTAGAGAAGCTTCCAGTAGTTCTACTCCTGGAAAAGGAACAAAGGCCATTCCAGAAATCTTTGGGTCCAAGTTTTTACCTACTCGCCACAACAATAACCGGAATAATAATAATAATAATAATAATAATAAGTGCCATGCCACCCCAGCGTGGAGCCCTCACCCTTTCTGCTCATCCCCTGTGGCACACCAGCCTCCGTCCTGGGCGCGTGTTCTGCCCCCTTGTGGACAAACCAACAGGCTTGGGACTCAGCGGCCACCGCGGCCCCAGGCATCCGCGCTCTCCCGAGCACCTGGAGGGCAGGAGGAGGAAAGCTGGCCTTGGAGTCCCCGGCATCGGCATCCTTCTCTCCACTGAATCCGTGTCTGGCACCGGAGCGGCGGCCGGGCGCCTCTCCCGTGCCCGCAGGAAGCGCAGGGCCAGGGCCGGGGTGGCGGGCCGCGGGCCGGCCCAGGGTGATGTCAGCGCTGGGCGCGGGGTGGGGCGCCGGGGCCGGGATAAATAGGGTTGGGCATGGCCGTGGCTGGCCGCGCCGCGGAGCCCGCAGCCCAGCAGGACCTGGCCTCCCCCTGCCATGCTCGTGCCGTTGGTGCTGGCAGCGCTGTGCGCGGGGCTGCGCCTGGCGCTGGGGGTGCGCGGGGCGCCCTGCGAGGCCGTGCGCATCCCCATGTGCCGCCAGATGCCCTGGAACATCACGCGGATGCCCAACCACCTGCACCATAGCACGCAGGAGAACGCCGTGCTGGCCATCGAGCAGTACGAGGAGCTGGTGGACGCCAACTGCAGCGCCGTCCTGCGCTTCTTCCTCTGCGCCATGTACGCGCCCATCTGCGCGCTGGAGTTCCTGCACGACCCCATCAAGCCCTGCAAGTCGGTGTGCCAGCGCGCGCGCGACGGCTGCGAGCCGCTCATGCGGGCCTACAACCACAGCTGGCCCCCGAGCCTGGCCTGCGACGAGCTGCCCGTCTATGACCGCGGTGTGTGCATCTCGCCCGAGGCCATCGTCACCGAGCTGCCGGAGGGTGAGGAGGAGAAGGAGGAGGAGGAGGCGCCCTCGGGGGTCGCGGCCGCGGCAGCGGGCAAGGGGGCAGGGGGCAGGCGTGACTTGCGCAAAGTCTGGGTTCCCTCCAGAAACTTGAGGAGCTCAGGAAAGACACAGCGTTTCCCTTTTTAAAGAGTGGAGGTGCGGCGGGGAGATGGCTTGCAAAGGCAACCTGGGGATCTTTACCTTTGACGGGGTTTGAGAGACAAGGGGAGAGGCAATTACTTTGCTTGCAGCTGACCCCGGGATGATCCCCAGCACCACTAGGGTCCCTCAGTACCGCCCCCGCCCCATCCCCTAGAAGTGATCCCTGAGTGCACAGCGGGAAGAGAGCCTCTCCCCGCCCCCTGCCACACCAATTCCCAGGAGTAAAGGAACAATCGAAGCAGCAACCAGAGCAGTAGTTATATGAGGACGCACCATCTGTTGGAGTCAGCATTGAGCACCAGGCAGGTTTCATTTCACACTGAAAACCCGCCCTTCATCCAGGTTCTTTCGTCTGTGAGATCGTAAAAGTTCTTGCCCAGAAGGCGGGAGTCACCATCCCAGCCGACTCTCTTTGCAAATCTGGTCACCCTGGAAAGCTGTGTTGTCTGTTTATGTTACCTGTTTTTCTAGAAAGCAAAGCAGGCTGCAGTGCAATGAAATGTTGTAAAACTTGTGTTCTTTTGGCTTGATCAACGTTTCTGCACTTTAGCCTTTTTTTTTCTTTACTCCTACTATTGGGATTAGGGGGCACACTCAGGGCTTATTTCAGGCTCTGCATGTAGGAGCCACTCCTGGCAGGTTCAGGGAACCGTATAGGGCGGTGGGGATCCAACCCGGCTGGGAGTGTGTAAGGCAAGTGTCTTACCCTCTCACTGTTCTGTCTCTGGGCTGTCTCTGCTCTTTATATTTACTTTAAAAAAAATTTTATTCGTGAATCACCATGAGGTACATGAGGCACAGTTGCATACAGAACTACAAACTTTCGTGCTTGCGTTTTAGTCATACATGGTGGAGGTATGGAACTTTCCATACCTCCACCAGTGCCCGTTCTCCACCACCAGTGATCCCAGTATCTCTACTCTTTAGAAGGGCATGACTTCTGTGTGATTTCTGAGTTCTAGCATTAGATCAGAGCCCCAGACACCAAGGAGAAGTAAAACAAAACAAAACTCACCTCTGCTTCAGTTTAAGAAAGAAATAAAATATGACCGCTTAAAGCACATAAAGAAGGTCCTGCTCATTTGCCATTGGCAGCTGAGAACTATTTCTGCAAAGTATGACATGGGGATTTGGAAGGGCTGTATACTAATGATTAGTGTAAAATACTCACCTGCATTGGAAATCAACATTTTAGGTGGACTCAGGCGGGAAAAATAGAATGTATCCAGGTTGGAATATGCCTTTCAGCGTGCACATATTTTCTTTTTTAATTTTAAAATTTTTATTTAAAGAACTGTAGCACTGCACTGTAGTACTGTCTTCCCATTGTTCATCCATTTGCTCCAATGGGCCCAGTAACGTCTCCATTGTGATACTTTGTTGTTACTGTGTTTGGCATATCGCATACGTCACGGGTAGCTTGCCAGGCTTTGCTGTGCGGGCGAGATACCCTCGGTAGCTTGCTGGGCTCTCCGAGAGGGAATTGAACTCGGATCGGCCAGGCCTGTGATTTACGAAATTTCTGGTAGGTGGATTTTAGGCATACGGTATATCAGCACCAAAATCACCACTAGTGTCAACTTCCCTCCACCAGTGTTCCCAGGCTCCCACTTGCCACCTTGACAGGCACGCTTCAGGGTTCAGCGGTTGTAGTTTGTAACTCATGATTTCAATGTTGCTGTGCTTTAGATATATAGTTAAACCACTCTCTTACATCATTGGTCTAACTGAGGCTTCTGATCCCTTCACCCCCCCCCCCCCATTATTTTCCTTTCTCATCTTCTTTCTTCTCTCCTTGCTTTCTTTCCTTCTCTGTCCTTCTCTTCCCTATTCCCTAGGTCGAGACAGATCTAGGCATCCCGCCTTTTACTACAATACATGTTCTCATACCACAGATAAGTGATAGCATCCTGTGTTTGTCCTTCTTCTGGCTTACCCCACTGAACATGCTATCTTCCAGTTCCAACCAGGTGACAGCACATTGCATGATTTCCTCTTTCTGTGAAGCTGCATAATGGAATGGACATATTTTGACATCAGTTTGAGAAGCAGTATAACTCCCAGTCTTCTCTCCTCGTGCCCACTTTGCCTGAGAGACATAGCAACCCTTATAGGCATGTCTGTGTGCGGGACTGTTCAATTGCGAGACTGACGGTTATGTCTCTAGGCAGTGCCTTCTTCTAGTTGGGTGAGCAGACAGGATCACTGCGCTCGCCCACATGGTTTCGTGCGTGTTTCAGATGTGAAGTGGATAGATATCACGCCTGACATGATGGTACAGGAACGGCCTCTTGATCTTGACTGTAAACGTCTAAGCCCAGGTGAGTTACTTTTCCTCTTTCCTCAACATGGTCCCCTCCCACCCTTCCCCTCACACACACACCACCACCACAGAGAGCAATTTCTGGGCCTTTTGTCAGTACATAATTTTATTTATTTATTTTTTATTGAATTACCGTGAGATACAGCTACAAAACTTTCATTTTGGATTTTCAGTCATACAATGATTGAGCACCCATCCCTCCACCAGTGCACATTTTCTACCACCAATGTCCCCAATACCTCCCCACCCCATCCCACCCTTCCCCTTGCCTCTATAGCAGACAATTTCCCTCTTACTCTCTCTCTCTACTTTGGGACATTAAATACCTAATTTTTAAATCTCTCTTTTGCTTTCTTTAGATCGGTGCAAGTGCAAAAAAGTAAAGCCAACTCTAGCAACTTATCTGAGCAAAAATTACAGCTACGGTAAGTCAGCTGATGTAGCTACTTAGGACCTGTTACAAAGGCAAAGCATGCTAGTCACAAAGTAAAGGCAAGGCTCCTAAATTTTCTATGTGATCTTTTTGATTCTCCCAAGAACCTTAACAACGATAAAGCTTTATGGTTTCTGAATTAAATCTAGAAAAGGGAAAGTAAGTTATCCAGATGACATAGGAATTTAGATCAGATACAATGTTCAATACTTCTCACTGGGAGCAGTGCTGATGGCAGGTGAGGGTCACCCATTAGGACTCCCATGAGGTTCCTTTGCTACTTGCTGGGGATGGGTGGAAGAGAGACACATGGGCTGGAGATGTGATGCTCCTAGGTCCAGGAATTCCCAAGTTTCTTTGTATTTACAAAAAACTACAAGTATATTATTATTATTATTATTATTATTATTATTATTACATTAAACTGGAGCGATAGCACAGCGGGTAGGGTGTTTGCCTTGCATGCAGCCAACATGGCCGACCCTAGTTCGATTCCTCCGCCCCTCTCGGAGAGCCCGGCAAGCTACTGAGAGTATCTCGCCCACACGGCAAAGCCTGGCAAGCTACCCATGATGTATTTGATATGCCAAACACAGTAACAAGTCTCACAATGGAGACATTACTGGGTCCACTCGAGAAAATCGATGAACGACGGGAGGACCATGACCGTGACATTAAACAACCATGAGGCACATAGTTACAAAGTTGTTCATGACTGAGTTACCATCATATAGTGTTCTAACACACATCTCTTCATCAGTCTTCCCCAGTACATTTCCCACCACCAATGTCCCCCATTTCCCTCCTTCCACATCCTCACCCCCAGTCTGCCTTTATTGCAGGCACTTTCCTTCTCTCTGTCTCTGTCTCTGTCTCTGTCTCTTTCCCTTTGAGCATTATGGTTTGCAATACAGGTACTGAAGGGTTATCATGTATATCCCTTTACCTACTTTCAGTGGTCAGTTGCTACAGGCGTTTTAAAAGTATTGTGAGACCGTGTCAATCATTATACTCTGGCCACAAGTAAAATCTGAGCATAATGTGTAAAGTCCACTTTCCTCTTATTTGAAAGAGCCAGTTAGCACTTTCTTCATTGAATAGATCAGTTTTGACATTTCGCAAGTTTTCATGGTGCTGGGCTAATGGTGTTACTCCCAGCGAGGCACAAAGATCCTTCACAAGGGCCCTATTTGAATCCAGAACCTCACACATACAAGACTAATATTTGATCACTGGAGTACATCCCTAACTCCCAACCCCTGCTTTATTTTTTGTTCTCAAAGTTTTAAGTAAATTTAGTTGGACTACCATCAACATAAATTTAACGTATCTATTAGGTTGTTAATTTTATTTCTTAAAATATTTCTTCTGAAAGAGTTTTCTGAAAATAACTAAGTTTTCATTATTTCAAACTCAAATTTTATGTAATAAAATTTTGTAATTTTGTAATCTCAAGTGTGAAATCAAGAAAATAATATCAACATAAAATTTGGAAAGAAAATAAAACTCCAAACTTTGTTTTAAAGTTGTTGGTTTTGAGAAACATATAGAACCAATGTGGATGATTCAAGCAAAAAATATAGACCATATTTTATGGTAGCTTTTTATTGCTTGCTTTAAACATATTTTTCTTAGTTGTTATTTAATCAGGCCAATTTATTTGCTCATCTGATACTACCCAACTTTAGTTTCTTACTTGAGTGCCTCTGTCCCGCTATTCTCCAGTGAGTCCTGTTTCATAATTTCTTTGGTGATGAAGCCATTTTCTATTGAAGTCTTCTGGCTCCTTCCTGAACCAGCTGCCTTTTTATTTTTATTTTTTGCTTTTTGGGTCACACCTGATAATGTTACTCCTGGCTCTGCACTCAGGAATTACTCCCAGCAGTGCTTGGGGGACCATATGGGATGTCGGGGATTGAACCTGGGTAACACTTGCTGGGTAACCTGCTGTACCATCTCTCCAGCCCCAAGAACCAGCTTCTTAAGATGGGATTCAAGATAGAGCCATAGTAGACTGATGATGATTTATAGGGAGGTGGCAATCATAAGACAGCAAGAATCTGGGGAATTAAAAAACAAAATAGAATTTAAAGAACTATTAAACAAGTGTCACTAACCACTATCTGTAACAGTCACTATCTCTGCTCACCAGGGATTTCACTTTGACAGTGTGTGAAGTGGAGGGCTAAGAATAGGGAATATTCCTGTCAGACAGAGGAAATGATATGATGGTATGATGGGTAATTGTCCCATGCAGACCGTAAGAAAGCACCTGAATCAGAAAATACATGATACTTAACTCACATAAAAGGCAGAATATCAAAAACAGTGTTTTTTTCTATAATTTTAAAACAGGGGCCACCTCCAGGGCAGCAGGAGGGCCTGACACCATCCATGCCAGCTGGTGGCTCCCTGGTCGCGTAGGCAGTGAGTCTGGTGCTTACTCAAGAGCCACCAAGGCTGCTCTCAGCCATACTTGGTGGGATCAGGGACACGCATGTGGTACCTAAAGAGACTTGAGGGACAGAACATCTGTGCACATGCTCTGCCACTTGAGCTAGCTCCCCGTTGTTCGATAAAACAGTTAATAATCATGTGTGAAACTAAATTTCCTGATACGGTTTGAGGAGAGCAGAAGCTTAAAACTCATTGAGGATTTTAGGACTGGGAAGAATCCAAAGGATTCTCTGTTGTAAACCTATTGACCAGCAATAAGGAGCAGTTACTGACCCGAACAGATCCCAGAGGGAGACTACTTCTCGATTTTTCTCTCATGACTCACAGCACGATTGAGAACTTTTTCAAAGCATGTTGACAATACAGGAGGTCTTTAGCATTTAGCATGAGATCGTGTGGTCTTTTTGTCTGCATTTGGTCAGCTTGGACATGACCATAATTACAGGAATGATTCTTTCAGGGACTCTCAGCAGCTGGCCAGGATACTCTAACCCTATTATTCTCCAGAGGCTTCAGCAATGCTTCTTCCCATGTTTCAATTGCAGCCATTCATGCCAAAATTAAAGCAGTGCAGCGGAGTGGCTGTAACGAAGTAACTACTGTGGTAGACGTGAAGGAGATCTTCAAATCCTCGTCACCCATCCCGCGCACTCAAGTCCCGCTCATTACGAACTCTTCTTGCCAGTGTCCCCATATCTTGCCCCATCAGGATGTGCTCATCATGTGCTATGAGTGGCGCTCAAGGTATGCAGGCAAGTGCAGAAGGAACTGCCAGCCACGTGTGGACACACAGGCGTGGTCTTGAACACCAGCTTAGGAGGGCTTTTGTAAAAAGCAGTTTTGCTAGATTTCTCAGTGAAATGGCATATGTCTTAAACATTAGAACATCTTTTAAAAATCTACAACTATGAACACATAATGGAATATTTATTCAGTTTATTTTTGGTTTTGGAGCCACCGCTAGCAGTGCTCAAGGAGTGCTTCTGGATTTTTATTCTGGGATCATCACCCCTGGCAGTGTTCAAGGGTCTATCTGAGGTGCTGGGAATGAAACCAGGGTGGCCGTGTGCAGGTAAAGCACCTTACCTTGTATGGTCTCTCCGGACTCTTAAACTGAGTCTTTAAAAGTGAATTTGGGGAGTGGAGTGATAGTATGACTGATAGGGCACTTGGTCTGTATTTCACTGTGCCCGTTACCGCTGCCCAGTGCTGTGTACGGTTCCCTAAGCCCCAACAAGACTGACCCCTGAGCACTGCCAGCTATGTCCTCCACAAAACTTCAAGTCTATACAGGGCGTAATGAGTTTGCCTTGCACATGACTGTTCTGGAGCATTCGCAGCAACACATGTGGTCCTCCAGCTCTGCCAGAAGGGAGCCCTGAGCACTGCTGGGTGTGGCCCCAAACCCAAAATAAATGGAAAAAAAGAGTTTCAAGAACTTGTAAACATGTTATATTGCTTTACGTGGAAACGCTTTCTTATTTGGTATGGCACAAACTAATATTTTTATTCATTTGAAAGCTTTTATTATTAAAACTTTTTTTAGTTGTTAATAAAAGCTCTTTAATAGCTCTTAGATAGGTAAAGGTGATCATTAAAGATCACAGTTCCATACTTGTTTACAGCATTTATTAAAGCCTAATCTACACCTATCCACTATCACACACACACACACACACACACACACACACACACACACATCCCATCACCTATCTTTAGCAGGGATTCTGTGGCCTCTCCAGCCTTTTGTTGGTGTCTTTTTACATACATTAGTACATTCCTTAGACAATAAAGAACAAACACTATACAAGCCCCAGGATAGACCCCCAAACTGACTGTAGTCATGTTCCCCAGAAAGATTATTTCTTTTGTGTGTGTGTGTGTGTGTGTGTGTGTGTGTATGTGTGTGTGTGTCACACCCAGTGATGCTCAGGACTTACTTCTGGCTCTGTGCTCAGGGATCACTTCTAGAGGTTCTTGTAAGACCACATGGGATGTCAGCTATCAAAAACCAGGTTGTCTGTGTAGGAGGAACCTGAGTTAGAAAAACTAGCAAGTTTGAGGCTGGAGCAATAATACAGCAGGTAGGGTGCTTGCTGTGCTGGAGTCCCATTAAATTCGTTCAGTTTACCACTATTTCTCCGAAGTGATTTTTGGAACTAAAACCAAAAAATTGCAATTTTTTAAATACCACTTCACTTAAATCTGAAATTATAGAGCTAAAAAATTTTAGCATCTTGAAAAAATTATAGGTTTACTTCATCCTTCTGTTGCCCCTATAAAATGTGTTCAAGCTGTTCTAGTAATGTCTCATCTCTCTAAAATAGTTGAATACGTTAAATGAGTGACTATTGAATGAATGATTTTGAGGCTACTTTCTGGCATGGGAATTTTTCTGCTGCCAGTATTAGATTCAGTTCTAGAGTTGCTTTTCATTAAATTCTATTTGGACCGATGAATTGATTACAAATGAGTGAACTTATGGTTTTCAGCCCACCCCCCCCCCCCTCCACCCCGGAGCGATAGCACAGCAGGTAGGGTGTTTGCCTTTCACACGGCCAACCCTGTCAACCTGAGTTTGATTCCTCTGCCCCTCTCAGAGAGCCTGGCAAGCTACTGAGAGTATCTCATCCATGGGGCAAAGCCTAGCAAGCTACCTGTAATGTATTCAATATGCCAAACACAGTAACAACAAGTCTTACAATGTTACTGGGCCCACTTGAGCAAATCCATGAACAACGGGAGGACAGTGACAGTGACAGATTCTCTTAATGAAAATCTCAGCAGAAAAATTATGCTATTGTAGATGAAATTTGAAGAGGGATATAAAGGGATAATGAGAACTTTTGCCTTATGAGATATGCAAAACTGATATAAAGCTACACTGGTCCGGTTCCAACCAAACCTTATGTTGCAATATTATATCACACAGAGAAATAAAATAGAAAAAACTTTATGCATATACTATTGCATAAAATAGCTATGTGTGGCGTACCACAAATCAATTGGAAATGAATATATTATTTAGAAAAGCCTGAAAATATTTCATTAAAATTTTATCAATATAATTTCAAATGAATTAAAGGGTTTTTTTAAAAACCTAAGGGCATAAAATGAACATATATGTGCTATCTGAATATCAAAATACTTTGCAACTAAAATATGACATAAATACAAAGAAAATGTCAAAATCTTCTAAAAATATCTACTATTTGTCTCAGCAATTCATTCAGAAATGTGGTTCTAACAAAATAAAAAGCACCAAGAATATAGCAACATAGCATTTGTATTAGTCGCTAAGTATAAAGAGGATGGTAGGGAAGTAGAGAAAATGTTCAACATATTTTGGATATTCATGTATTTAATATCACGATCACGACCATCCTGTTGTTCGTCGATTGCCTCGAGCAGGCCCCAGTAACGTCTCCTTCGTCCTAGCCCTGAGTTTTTTTTTTTAAAGTGTCGTATTCAAGGCTCTTTCAGGGTTAGGAGAATGAGACCCATCATTGTTACTGGTATTTGGCATACTGGTATGCCACGGGGAGTTTGCCAGATTCTGCCGTGTGGGCAGGTTACATTCGGTAGCCTGCCAGTTTCTCCAATATATTTAATATATAGTTTTTAAAGTCATATTTTATTTAAGATAGTCATAAAATGCATACAATTTAATAATAAAAGTAAATATAATAGTAAAAGATACACTTGTGATTAAAATATGTACATAGGTAAAAGGAATAATAAAAAGAAATATCCATAAAATATGAATGGTGGATATGTATGCGGGTTGGGAGTTAAATGTTACTGAGGAATTTGTTCTTTACAATTTTTTGTATTTTTAACTTTCTTAATAAAAGATACATTTTTTTCCAGAATGATGCTGCTTGAAAATTGTTTAGTTGAAAAATGGAGAGATCAGCTTAGTAAAAGATCCATAGTAAGTATAATTACCAGTAAGCCCTGAGCATGATCGAGTGTTGCCCCAAACCACCTCGCACCACCCCCCACCCTCAATGCCCGCCTGTGATCACACAGTTATTTAAACACTCTTGGCCAAGTGAAGAGCATGTACCACTATTAAGTCTTGAAGAAGTTGGTTTGAACACAGTTGCTTCTCGTCAATCAATGCCTTTTAATGACAGAACCAAACACTATGATTACACCTGAGCTAAACATTCACGGGTTGCTCAAGAACACTGTATTTTGGGGACTGGAGCGATAGCACAGTGGGTAGGGTGCATGCCTCCCACGAGGCCAACCCAAGTTTGATTCCTAGTATCCCATATGGCCCCCTGAGTACTGCCAGGAGTAATTCCTGAGTGCAGAGCAAGTGACCCAAGAAGCAAAAAACAAAACAAAACAAATTAAAAAAAAACACTGTATTTTTAATGTATTATTTGATGGGGGTTGAGGGTGGGGGATGTTGGGAGGTGGTTTGGGGCACCACCTAATCATGCTCAGGGCTTTCTTCTGCCTCTCTGCTCAGTTATGACTCTTGGAAGGGCCCAGTGGACTATGTTCAGTGTTGGGGATTGAGCTGGGGCTGGTCACATAAAAGCCAAGCTTCTTAACCGTGCAGTATATGGCCCTCAGTATTATTTTTGTCTTACTAGATAGAAAATTATAGCAGACTTGGCTCTAATTTTTAAGATTACAATAGATTAGAAATATCAATATAGAAGGCAACTCTTTATAAGGATCTGAAACTAAGAATATCAATGAGATTAAAAAGTCCTGCAAGAGGCATAGTTGTTTTCAGAAAATATTCTGGTATACTTTCATAATTTGAAAGAGCACAGTGTGATAAAAATATATGTTTATTATCTTAGTGCAGACTAGAATTGTGTGCTAAGATTGTGGGAACAATATTTTTTTTCTATTTATAATTAATCATTTCTTGGCCTTTGGTTTTGCTAAAAATTTCTGCTGAGTGTAATATACTCTTAACAAAGTAGGGACATGTGTGTTATAATAAAATGCATTGTCTATTCAAGTGGACTTACTTTTGTTCCTTACATGCAATTCTTTTCAAAATAGTAGTTATTTATGTTTATAAATAGTAATTAATTTTATATCAAGTAACCACTGCCCCAACAGTGATCACACAGTTATTTAAACTGTGTGATAAAATGCCTCTCTCTCAGTAATTCTAGGTAGCTAATATTTGAGTTGCTTGGAAAATATTGGTGGACTTTCTGTCTCTCTTTTAATGGAAAGCAAGTGAACCCTGTTACTATTTATACTGGAAAATTTCTGCTTTAAGCTATGTCAAAACTTTTTAAAAAGCATTTGTTTGTGTGGAAATACTGCATTTTAGAACTTCTGGGAAATTAGCACGTATTGGAGATTTGAGTGTTGGAATCAGTCTGTTGAGTTGAATTCCACCTTAACATTTATATACAGAAGGTGTGCATCACATGCAGAAAACATGCAACCGTCTACAGATTGCATGTTTGCATCCTACAAATAACTGGTTATGGCAGTGGTGTTCAGCTTGAAGGACTCGTGAATTTCAATAAAGTTTTGAGCACTTTCTAAATCATCATGGATTTGCCCAAAAACGCAGGGCAGCTGTTATAATTGTTGTCATGAGTAATACACTAGAGTTAAAAATTTGCATTCATTCTGATAGTCACTTAATAGCATAAAGGGGTGAAATCTTACATTTGACTTGCTTGCAAATTGCTTTGCAGCAGTGGGAGGAGAGGCTTCAGGAACAGCAAAGGACAATTCAGGACAAGAAACGAACATCAGGGCGCACCAGTCGTAGTAATCCCCCTAAACCAAAGGGAAAGCCATCTGCTCCGAGACCAGACACCCCCAAGAAGAACATTAAGGTGAGGAGTGCCCAGAAGGGAACAAACCTGAAAAGAGTGTGAAGGAAACGTTTGCCGCAGTGAAGACTCCCCTCAGGATGAAACCAGGCACCCCGGAGCCTGTGCAACCACTCACATTAACAACTGAAGACTCTGCATAGGCATGTCTTGCAGAACTTTTCTTATTGATACACTTCAGTTTTTCTTTTTAAGCCATCACAAGCCACAGTGGCATTTATGCCCGTCAACACAGAGGGTGATGTGAAAACTCATGGGAAAAACCATGGTTCAGAAAAGCATGTGAGTGGACTCTGAGGTCTCCATGTGGGGAAATGACCCTTTTGTTCTTACAGTTTGACAGATATTTGTTGTAAATAAATGCCTTGTTACAAACACAACACCTAATATTTCTAAGATCTGTTTTATTTTAGTTAGACTTCTATTGTTAGAATCCTCGTGATCTTTCAGAAGTGAGCAAAAATACAGTGCTTATAAAGTGGGGGAAAGAAATGAATGTTTTAACAGTTTAACATGTTACTATTTGCAGGTGAAGTTGCTACAAAGAGATTTCTAAGTGTTCTGGAAAAACAGGAGGTGGGATGTTATACATTTTTTACAAAGATAACTTTATGCTCTAAAACTAATTAAAATGAAAATAATTGTCAATCAAAAAGGGACAGGTCGGCAGCGGTAAGGTCCTTGTTTCTGGTTCCCCTGCCTGGTAGGATGTTCTGATTTTATATCCAGGATGTCACTGCCTATAAGAAGTAGTAGAAACAAATTTCGTGATTATGATTTAGGTACTAGATAGTCAATTCCAAATATTTATACCTGCAGGTATGCACATATCTCATTTCCCAGGGTATCTTAGGGAACATTTGGTATGAGCCTGGAGAAAAGTCTCTCTACAGATTGCTTTCTGATGCAGTTAGCTGAGGAGAGGATCTGGTGGTCCCTGAGTCTCCTGATTTTGAAAGAGGAAATCTAAGTTTCCCCCTCGCCCACTGTTGCTTGTGGTTCCATTTCAGCTGACTTGAACCTACACTTAGACATCCCTACCAATTCCTGAACTCTCTGAGAATGGGGAGTTTACTCTTTTTCAAGACAATAAATTCTGTCTCAGCTCTTCGGCTCACAGGAGGCCAGGATACACAGAGATGGCCAAGTAAGTGTCCGAAAAGGCTCTAAAGAAATACAGGGTGTAAGTCTTCACACGAGTGGGTCCTGAGTCAACAAGACATCTCTGGGAAACAAATAGGAATTCTTTCATTGTTGATAAGTTACAAAAAAATCGAACACACACACATACAATGAGCCATACTTAACTTAGTCCTACACTAAGTTTCTCCCCTGCTGGGAGTTTCTCTCCTACTAACTCTGAACAGAAAATTTTAGAGTTCACTAAATTTTAGTATAATTATTGTTTCAGTATTGATGCCATTTGCCCCCCCGGATGGCTTATGTGAACTGGAGAGGAGAGAGATAGCCTCTTTTACCCTGTCTACCTCTGCCACCACGCAGTGTCTGGGAAGGTGAGAACTGTGATGAGTCCCTGCATGGCACAGACCTCAAGTTCCACCAGCTCCCACTAGTTGGCCATCCAGCCATATCCACTTGTTGCATGGGAGTTTATAGCCACCAGCAGATTTCTTGGGGAGCTGCGGACTCCAGCTGGAGCGAGGAATTGCTCTTTGCAGGAGAGGAAAGTCAGCCCTAGGTCTTACCTAGGTTTTTGGATCCTTGTCTTCTCACAGAAAAGAATTTCAAATCTGAGTGGTTCCTGTTTTAAAAAAGCAAAGAAAATCAGGAGTAGATGAGCAGTGAAGTAAATAATGATTTTATGTGGAGGTTTTTGAGGAAGAGGAATGGGGGAGAGAAAGAGAGAGAGATTAATGTTCTCAAGAGAACATGAGCCTCTCTGGAGGTGGAGAGAGCCCCATCACACACCCCAGCATTAGGTATGAAAGCATGAAAATACACATCTCAAAGGAGGGAGAGGTGGGCAACACATGTGCTCAGCAGCACTGCTTGGCCACAACATATGGACACAAACAGCGCAAGGCTTGAGCAGCATCTGCACACGCTTCCTTTGTTCAGGTTGGTTTTAATAGAGTTCCTCCCAAGCCTCATGTGGGGCTTTCTACCTAGGTAAGAGTCTGTTGTAGGTAGAGTTACCAAGAGGATAGAATTGGGAGGAGTTGAATCCCTTTGATCATTGCTCCTCATGGAGCTTCTCTTGAAGGAGGGTTGCTGGCACCACTAAAAGTCTTATCCTTCTTCTGTGCCTGTGTTTGCAAGGTAAGTCCTGACAGCCGTAAGGCTAGTTGGTTTTATTATGTCTCAGGAATTCCATTGCCATGGGGGTCCTGTTCCTATGTACCTGCTTGCCTCAATATTTTCACTCTTCAAAATATTGAGGAACACAGACGAACACAGAGACTAGCCGTAACCACTCTTGCATCAGTTCTCATCCCACTGTGTCTCTGCTGTCGTTGTCATATACCAACTGTGTGCCTGGAAAAAACCCTTGTGATCAGTTGTCCGGCCATGATTCAAGGATGCAAAAGGACAGCTGAAAAGCCTTGACTGATTTTCTCTTTTACATTTCACTTTTCGGGACTGGACACATAGCTTGGGACTGGACACAGTAGGGTGCTTGCCTTGCAAATAGCTGACCTGAGTCCAATCCCTAGCATCTCTCTCTCTCTCTCTCTCTCTCTCTTGCTTTTTGGGTCACACGCAGTAAAGCTCAGGGGTTACTTCTGACTCTGTGCTCAGAAGTTGCTCCTGGAGCTACTTGGGGGACCACATGGGATGCCAGGGATTGAACCCATGTCAGCTGCATGCAAGGTACACACTCTACCCACTATATTATTGTTCTCCCCCGGCCAGCATCTCTATGGTTCCCCAGGACTTCCAGAAGTGATTCCTGAGTGCAGATCTAGGAGTAAACACTGAGTATTGCTGAGTGTGTGCCCCAAACTAACAAACTAATAGATTTCATTTAACTCCTGTTTCTCAGAGAAGGCTAGATGGCATGTTGCATTTACAGAAGATAACTGAAAATGTCAGTTTTTTGCTGCGTTATGGGGACACAGAAGTGAGGTGTGTGGGTAAGCCAAGGAAGAGTGACAAAATGAGACTGAGAAGATGGTCTGGAACACTCATTTCCTCCGGGAATTTTAACTTTGTTGTTCACTTCTGCAGCACTTATACTAAAATGAGAATGTTACAGAGTAGATTAGCATGCCTCTTTGCCAGCTTGACATGGAAATTCATGATGTTTTCCAAATAAAGAAAGAAAGAAATAAAGAAAGAAAGAAAGAAAGAAAGAAAGAAGGGAGAGCTAAGAAAGAAAGTTAATTTTTTATCTGCTCCGTACTTCAATAGCATTGTAATAAAGTAATATAAGTATTCTCTCACACAGGGCAAGGTTCTGCTGTATAAAGGCAAAAAGCCCTTGGATCCTTAAGGAAAGTCAGATGAAGGTTTACTGTGACAGCCAAAGTAAAGAAATCTAGGAAAAGTACTTAAGACAGTGGTAGTGGAGATGTCCCCTCAGAATGAAGTCAGGCATTGCCCTAGAGCCTTGCCAACCCCTCACTTTAACAGGTACAGACAGGCATAGAAGGAAATCTTTGGGAGAAGCAGAGTTACAAACCGGACTCTTCAAAGAAATGGAGATTTAATTCAAAAGATTTATTGAGTGCAAAACTGACTGTAATAAGAGTTTTGTGATAATGTTGTCAAATTTAACATTGCTTACTTTGAATACTTAACTGAATCCATCTATTAAATATTACATCAAACTTAATTAGGCACATTTATTATATCAATAAACTGTTGAAAGATGAAGTTGTCTACTGGTGTTTAGAAGGAAAAAAACCCTTTTTTTAGATAAAAAAAATCAGCAGCAGCTCACACTGAAAAGTCAAACATTTCTTTGTCTTATCTGTTTCCTGAGCAGAAGTAAAAACAAACAAACTGAATTTTCTATCTGAAATGGAAAATATTTGAGAATTGGATTACTTTAATTCAGGTTTGGGGAAGTTTTTCTACCACCTTGACTATTTTCAGGCCTTGAAGTGCAGGTAAACCTTAGCTCTGGGCCCACTAAAGAGAAGCATGTGTGTCATGTCAAGAGCCAGGCCTCCGGATTTCACTGACCTTATATGGGCCACAGGCCAGATACTTCCCACACACACTTTTGTCAGACCAAAAACAAACAAGTGAACAAACAAACAAAACCTTTTCTTTTATTTGTCAACAAATTTCATTAACTTCAAGAATTAAAAAATTCGTCCTTCACGCTCTACCAAGGTCACGAGTTGACCCCCACCAGCAGCTCTCCAGCATGGCCATGGCTCCAGAGGCACAAGAACTTAATGCAGAGCCCGGCAGCTTGCAGCAGAAAAGTGAATGGACCATGCGTTAATCCATGGTACCATGCCTCCCCGGGAGGGAAAGGGTGTCGCTCCCTTCCACCTTCCCTCTCCCCCCCACCCCCCCCCCCCCCGCCCCAGGCAGCAACAGGCCACCGCCTCAGAGCTTATTGGAAAGCCAGGTATGATCCCGCGGTGATGGGGCAACTGCAGTCTTATGTGAAGGGGGGGTGTTTCCGGCTCATCCTTCACGCCCTGCCAAGGTCATGAGTTGCCTCCCATGAGCGGCTCTCCGGCACCGCCATGGCTCCAGAGCCACAGAAACCAATCTTGTAATTATCTGGCTTTTGGCAGAAATCCCTCCAGACTTAATAAGTAAAATATCAGAAATCCAAAATCACGCGGCCACGATAGTGGCCACACAACATCATACAGTCCTCATAACTAGCTATAGCAAACAAATTATTTCACTATGCCTTTTCAGCAGTTCTGATTGTTGGGTGGAAACTCTAAATAATAATGGTGCATCTTTTGTCGAAGTGATGAATGTAATCAAAGTAGATAGAGAGTTAAGTAGAAATTATCTGATTTGGGAGGGGTGGTAGGGGGGTATTTTGGGGTTCTTGGTGGCGAAAAATAAGTACTGGTGAAGGAAAAGGTGTTTGATCATTGTATGACCAAGACTTAAACATGAAAGCTTTGTAACTCTTCCTACAGTGATTCAATAAATAAATATATTTAAAAAAATTAAAAACATTAGTCTTATTCTTTTGAAAGGAAGCTCCATCTTCAGCCCGAACTTTCCACCGCTTACAGCAGGAAGCAACCTAAGGGTCTCTGACCCCTTTCAATCTCTGTGGTAGTTGGAGCCCCTGCTAAAGAAAAAGGGGGATGATAGGGACAAAGGGGAGCAGATAGGGCCAGATAA